CTCTATGCTTCTGCATTTGAAGGATGCGTGATCTCTCCATCTCTTCTATGCTATGCATGTCATCTCATTGCCTCAACCATACTTTCTGATTGGTATAACCTCTTCAACCTGTCAGTTATTGGTAAATACCATATTCGCTTATAAAGGACTAGAACTCTGCCAGATGTTTCCTGAAATCGTGGTTTACGACACCATTTACATCTTCTCCGGTTTTCGTCTTCTGTCCAGTATACATACAATTATCGACACACACACCTATAATCTGATACGGTAAACTAAGACCAGCTACCAGCATCTGAACCTCGTAGTATGAAGCTGGTGAAATATTATCTTCAGGAATTATCGCATCCACACAATTCTCAACCAAATTTTAGTCTGTCTTTATCGTCATTAATCTACTTGCAGATGATAAAGGCGAATGACCATCTCTACATCCTTTGTATAGAGATTGTTTAGCTGAGTCTAGCATTTCAAAAAACCTTTGGGATTCTAAGTTAGGTTCCTTTATTCTATCTTCATATACACCAGTCGACTGCATATTTTTCTTATAGGCATCATTAACCATCTGAACAGTACCTACAACAAAATCTACTTCCGTTCTACATTCTTCTACGCTATCTATAATATATGGTTCGCTAGTACTAGCATAATCCGGTCGTTCTCCATGAAGAAACGAAATCTTATAACCCGTCATAAACCCATTACGATACAAGTGATTCCAAACTAAATCAATCCTAATATTATGGGCATTCCAGCAAATAGAACATGGACATTTCAATTTACGGGTTTTTTTGCCTCCGGTTGTGGGCAAGCCAATTCCATGAACTCTCATACCCCTTTTTCGTTATTTTTTTAGAGAATGGAAGAATGGTGTTAGAATGAGTGTGTTGTTAAGAATGAGTGGGTATGCATGTTTATAAAAGCAATTCTAACAGCGTCCGTCGGAAATCTGTCGGAATTCCGTCACAAACAAAAAATTTAAACGGCTACTTTATCTGTAACGCCCTCTAACCGCTCAATGGCCGGACAAGCCACATGCGATCCGGAAATGTCACATAGACAGCTCACATAGACGATCCAACAAAGGTTCCAAATGCATTTGACCCTTAGTCGGACCATCCGTGTGAACCATCCCTCACGACCGCGATATAGGCTTTTCAACTCTTACCGTGATCGCGAGTTGTGTTAGTCCAGACAAGACTAATATCAGGTGAAACACACACTTTATATGAAAATACTCTTTTATATCATATAAACTTTCCGTACTCTTTTATGTACGGATCACGAGGATCACGGACATAATTCAGTACAATATTCAACCAAACCTGCATAGAGATTCAAATTAATCAACTAAGGATAAAACGAGAATCTAACATGCAACCTCACTCCTAAACGCACACAATCAAGCAATTGCTCGATGATACGCCTAAGCACATCACTGAGACTTAGCAATTAAATAATCAAACAAAACAAACAACTACCCAAACACCCAAACCTATCATGTGCCATATCACATGCTTCGAGACTCACAGAGATTCGGTTGAAGGTTTAAGGTTTGCTTCAGCGATCTTGGACATTCCACGGCTTCTCCATCTTGTTCTTAACTTAACTCAATTTCCCTCAACTTGATTCAACACCTCTTGATAACCACAACCTTGATTCTTCTATCTCAACTCAAAATCAACCCTTAGAAATAGTCTCAAGATAATAACCAGATCATGGGAATGATTCGGAGAAAACAGACTTTGCCATCAGATCATATTTCTCGGATCCATTCGATCAGACAGTTCTCCACTATTTTTCGATCACCGAAGCTGTTCCATACGGATTTCTCAATCTCAGATTTCTTGCGATAGGTTTTTCTACGATTAGACAGCGTTTCGATGATTCCCTCCTCTCTCCCTTTAAAATGACGCGAGACTCCAAGTATTTATAGGCTGCAGGTGGTCGAGTTAGCACGTACACGTGTCAACCGTTCGGACAGACATGTACGGTAATGCAGACGTGACAATGACACGTGTCCAGAGAAACTTCGGCTCCAAGTCACTCAGTCAACGGCTTGGTCAACGGTCAACGAGACGCTCATTCGGTCAAGGGTCAGTCTATCCGACGGGTTACATACCGCGGTACGGTCGGATATGATTTTCTCAGTCATCTTTCGTCTGGATCAATATTTTCTTGATCAACCTTTGTCCGTTCAGCATTAAATTACATTTTGTCCGGACCAAACTCTGGCTTGCTTGATGAATTCTTCACTGAATCATCCGATGATCGATAGATTACCTTAAAGTATGGAGATCCGTCGATCACTCCCAATCGCGGTAAGGTTCCGTCGACCAACTCCAAATTTTTCTCGACCTAAACTAATATTGTCTCGCCTGATCCTTCTTATTTTCCATCCTTAATGGTTTTCATTTTCTGTCTCAATTCCTTCTTGATTTTTCTTTGATCAATCCTTGCACGGTCATTTACCCTAAACGAGGGTTACTACATTAACGGTAACAAATAATCGACGGCTTCCCGACAGATATAGGTAACGGACATATTCCGTCAAGAAGCCGTTAGTATTCTGTCGAAAATTAAATAAAAAAAAAGACAAACAGTTATGTTAACGGTAACAATAAACTGACAAATTTTCCACAGATATTACTAACGGATATATATATATATATATGCCATCAAGATGCCGTTGTGTTCTCGTTACATATTACCAACGGATGTAACGATGTTAGTAATTCCGGACAGAATGTTGTCTGTCGGAAATACCGTCAAGAGTTGTTGTGTTTTCTTGTAGTGTATAGGTCTCAATTTTGTCATCCTTATTGATCTTTCCGTTTTCGGGATAAGAGAAATATTCGTCATATTCAACCGTTTATCAAAACTTCCTTCTTGTAGCAACGAAAGTATTAAATGCATTAGATCCAATTTAACCGTAGTCCAGGCCTTTTGGAAAAACAAAGATGTCATCCCGTATGGACCTGGCGATTTTTCCGGATGTATCATGAATAGTGCTGCTCTCACTTCCTTTTCAGTAGCAGGAGCCATTAAAAATCATTTATTTGATCCGCAATAGTAGTCTTAACCTCCTTTAATGCATCCTCAAAATCATGGAATTTCTTAGTTGTGAAAAGATTTTTAAAATAAGAAACCGCTGTGTTGTATATCTTTATCCTCATCCGACAAGTTCCATTTTCATCATGAAGATCGATAATCCTATTTCGAGTTCGACGTTGTTTCGTTTGAGCATGGAAATATGAAGAATTATTATCTCCTAGCCGCAGCCATAAACTCCTACTTTTTTTGTACCAATACAATTCCTATTCGCGGTAAGCCTCTCGCCACCGTAAAGTTAGATCTGTTATCACCTCTGGTAATTGGCTATCATCATTTTGTGCTACTTATAACTCGGTTTTAAGTATTGTTATTGATTTGCGGCCATAAGGGGTCAAATCTTTCCTCTATTTCGAGATCGCACGCCTGCAATTTAACACTTTGTCCATGAAACTTCCTTCGCCCAAATTATCCTCTAGGTGCCATCCTTCTGAAATTGTTTCTACTAATCCCTCCTTTCCAATCCACCTTTTATCAAACCGAAATTTTCTCTTTCCTCGGGGCATCTTATCTGCAATCGTCGCCACCACTGGTTTGTGATCTGAATCGACCATTGGTGAGTATTCAATGAATGAATTACAGAATAATTCGTGTCAATCCTCATTAGCTAAGGCTCTATCCAATCTGCAGCTAATTGGCTTCTTATCATGCCAACCACGCCACGATAAAAAAAATCACCAATATGAGGAAATTCAAGTAAACCGCAGTCTCTAATCATTGAATTAAAAGTAATAAAAGATTAGGCAAGTCTTAATCTTCCACCACTTTTTTTCATGATTCCCTTTGACCTCATTAAAATCACCTATTAGGAACCAAGGTGTATTCCAATTCAAACCAATACGCCTTAGTCTTTCCCAAACTTGCTCTCGTTTGTGAGCTACCGGTTCTCCGTATACAAAAGTAAGATGAACTACTTTTCCTTTAACAATAACCTCAATATCAATTAACCGATTTGAAAGGACCCGAACCCGCTACATGGAACTGGTCAACATGTTGACTTTCTGGCGCGGCCCAAACCATATTTATATTCAAACTCGCCAATTAACAACGGAAAAAAAACTCTTGACTTAAACAACCTGCAAAAAAGAGACGGGTGAGCAATTGAAAATCACTCAGTGAGGGCAAGCCTCAGGGCTCACGAAGTTTTCATACACAAACACGCTTAGACAATCACAAAGTCTAAACCTAACACAAGCAGGCAATCACGTGTCAAAGACACACACACACATAAAACAAATGAGACTACGTCCCATAACCACTACCATAAAGGCATGCAGGATACGAACGTATAACACATGCCGTCTACCCGTACATACTGGATTTCTCGTGCCTGAGCACTTCTTCCGTGCAACTGGATCCCTTGTGCCTCTTATTACACAAACAAACATTTCACGAATCACACAACTCGCATTAAAATATTTATTTAATTTTATTTTCATTTCTAAAAATACTAGTTCATTTTATAAATAGGTATATATATACATATAAGTACGTATAAATATAATATACAATCACCACCCAAATATATGCTACTTATAATGTAACATATAGGTATGCTCAGCTTAATCTTAAACTAAGTAAATACCTAAACATATGGGTATATGAATAAAACACCAACTAGTCCTCACCTTAGCCAATTGGTTATGAATTCTTGGTTTAGAACTAGCAAAGTAGAAATCCGGTTCAACAACAATTTTCGATCTGCAACCAATTAATTAATCAAACCAAGATTATTTCCAATTAATAGTCCATCTACTATACATTTTTGCAACACTTTTTGGGGATCCAATCGGGTCGGGTATTTTTAAAATTTTGACCCGGAATTTTTTTTTTTGACCCGACTCAATTAAACATTGCGGATCCACTTCATGATACTTGCCAAAAAAAAATGCAAAGATTTCGGCAATATATTATCTTTCACTATATATGCAACTTCCCTAAACAACCAAATCCTAACAATGTCTAAAGGTCCCGCATTAATCAGATCCTTCCTATTTTGACCCGAATTATTTTGAATCAGATCCTTCCTTATTTGAGACTTTCCTACAAAAAATCCAAATGACATTTAATCATTTATTTTGTTAATAAACCAAACATATATAAGTAGTTATAACAAACGGAATTTTGTTTTCTATAATAATGGTAGAGAATTAATTGCATTTAACATTTGTTTCCTATAGGATATTGCCTTAGATTTAACCGGCAGTAATATTAGGCATATTCTTTCATGTGATAGCTACAATCCCGAATTTAAAGCAAAATATATACTAATTATAACAATCCATCTATCAAATGGCATATTCCTTACTTCATCCTTCGTTTACAATAATGCTTTGTACCATATTTAGAAAATATGCCTAATTCTCATATTATTATGCAGTAAATTATAATAATTAGCATTAATTTTGAATTAGAAGATTTCCGAGATTTTGAACTTGATCACCAAGATTTTCTCGCTTTTCAATCAAACCTAACCATAAACATCTACAATCTCCTATAAATAACCTGTCAATATATGCAAAAACAAAGTAGCTCATCAAGAAAAAATTTACCTTTTACATACAGCAAAAAAAACTGTATAATGTCTCCATGGTTGTTTCATTTGCATATCTAAGCGATGTGCGGCCTTACAAAATCGCATGGTGAGTCTAGGTTCTGATCCTGCATTCATAACGACAATATACAATCAAAACGGGTTCGACTCTGGAATTGGTGTTAGCCGATGGCAAAAATCAAAACTTATAGAGGTAAAAATTGTTCCAGTATTAAAATGCTAAAAAAAATTGTTTTACATAGCTTATAATAATCCAACAACTAAATGATGTTAACCAATCATTTTTTTAACAGGAATAAGAAGTGTCAAAGTCTTGTGATGCTTCACAAGTTCGTATCAATCATCCATAACCAGAAGCTCATGCATTTACTAAATTGTAAGAGTTATTACATTAATTAGCTTATAATGAAATAAACTTATATGAAAGATTATATAACATTTGCAATTTTTATTTGTTTATGTATATTTATTTCTATCATCAAGCAAAATAGAGGACCCATTCACATCCATACATAAGCAGATCCCAAAGCCGTCTTTATCAAGGAATGTTTTCTCAGAATCACAATATTAGGGTCTAATTCTTATATGTGGAAAACCAAATCAATCTCTCAAGAACATCAAACCCTAAGTTTTTTTAACCTATTATCTAAACAATTTCGATTTTTATGTGTATGTGAAGCCTCTGATAATTGTGAATGTTTTTATATGGAATTGGTGACCATTTTTAATATGTAAAGAACACAAATCTAAGAATTGAAAGACGAAGCTACCATTTCGAAATAATGACTAATCGATAACGTCGCAGATCTATCAACCAAATGAAGAAAATAGAAAATTACCAGGAATTTCATTGGCAGATGTTGATACTTAGCCATTCGAGCATCAATCGAGAATTTCAAAGCTTGCTCCAAGAGGATACATGCCGTTAAACCCCTTTGGGAACACCACGAACTGAGATCCGGCTTACTTATCAACGGTTCATATCATCAAATCAATCAACTAAGTGACTTAATTTTTAGAAAAATTAGTTCCGATTAAAATCAAGAAAAGGATAACCATACTTGGCAGATGTATCACAGAAGATGGTGGAGGCTTGGATATACGATGGGGAAAGAATCGAAATCAGCAAAATCATCCTTCATCTTCGTTTAACTCTTTAATGGGTTGGGCTCTAATTTACAATTAGGACTTTTTATTTTAGTGGCTTTCTCTTATTACAAGTTCAAATACTATATCGTAAGTGGAAAAATTAGAATGGGCTATGTGTACATTGATCTTCTTGCCACGTAATTATTTTGATAACAGTAGCTAGATAGTTAGTTATACTGTATTCCCCACCTTCTATTTATTTTAATATTTTGGCTTCAAAGCCACCGATTTCCGGGGCCTACTTTAAAACAACATTTTCTCCATAAACTCTTTTTGATGCGTAATCTTAATAGATCTTTAAATTAATGCAACAATTTAACAAAACAAAATAAATTCTCTTTCGTAAATATTTTTTTGTTATAAATAGATGTCGACGGGTTATATTACGGAACATAGTTATATAGTGGGACGACATGTTTGAATCAACATTAAAAAAAATTTGGAATATCATTATCAAACCGCTTCAATACGGGTTAAGTCCTCATTTTACTATTTTTAAACTGCCAATAATATACATATCGAGTCAATCTGATTTAGTTTAGATTATATAAAACAAAAAAAAAATTTCCGTAGTATTTTAATGACAATTGTAAACTATAAATTATAAATGTCCTAAGAAATGATACAATTTGCAAAAATATTTATATAATACACAATTATAAAAAATTTAAAATCACAAATTATGGAAAACAAATGTAGTTTCACCATATAAAAACAAAATACTATTACACTTAGAATATCGCAAACTTACATCTTATTAGAAACCGTACATAATCAAATATACGTTACGGTACAAATAAAACATAAAAACGAATGTATAAATCATTAGTTTATAAAAATAAAATAAAAGATTAACCCGCGGTGTACCGCGGGTCATATCCTAGTAATTTAATATACTAACCAACCAAATTTTCATTGATTTTCGTGCTTCCTCCATTAAATTAATTAGATCAAAATCTAATAATTTAATTCACCATAATTCTAGTTCACGATCACATTAATTTGGCTCTAAAACCAAATCACCATTTAACCACACGAACACATAATTGAGTTTGGTTTAATAATCAATTACCAAACAGGCCCGGCCCGCGACCCATTCCCAAGATACATGGGTATTGGACCTCAAAAATTTTGAAGATTTTTAGTAACAAAATTAGGCCCCAATTTTTTTTTGTTATTGCATAAGTAGACCTCAGTTTTTCGAAAGTTTTAGATTTCATCTCAAATTTTAAATTTTATCTATTTATTATTGCAAAAATAGGCCTCATTTTTCTAAAGTTTTAAGAGTTGGTCTCAAATTTTAACTTTTATCGATAAAATCCACAAAAAATAATTTTGTTATGTATTGGGCCTCATATTTATCTGGACCGGCACTGACCAAAACCATACTAAGCGTACAACACTACAATTTCCACACGTGAACATGTTATCGGTTTCAGTTCATTAAACAAATCCAATAAAACTTCTCATACATGTCTCGCATTTTAGGATTGGATTACTTAAGATTCCTTGGTTAATGCTGGTTAGGCTTCGGTTCAATAATCAACAAAACAACAACGACACGAGTGTTGAGACGAGCCAATATCTTTCTCCGCAATGACTCTCAACGGCAAGATGGATCTGCGTTCGTTAAAGTTCAAGCCCACCGTGGCGTTCAATCCTCATGGCTCAACAATTAAACAACAACAGATCAACAAAACATAAAACAAGACCAGAAACTTCACGTACAAGCTACTTAATATGTCTAGGGTTTCCTTACCCTTAAAGGCTACGACTACTCTGATGAAAGCGACTCGTGGTAACAAACTACGGTGGCACGGTGGCTGTGGTGGTTCTCCGGTTCAGATCCGGTGGCCTTCTCTCTCTTCTCCTCTTTCTCTCCACTTTCATTCTCCTCCCTTTCTCTTTATTTTCCTGTGACAAATCACCACCTCCTCCATCACGTTTCCAAGTGAGACCTCCCTCTTCCTCAACAAGATTCACAGCGACAACAATACGTCAACGGCTTCATAACTAATCAACGACGGCGATCTCATGACTAACGGGTTAGGGTTGCTCAACCTTTTGTCTCTTTATGGCTAATGAACAAGAAGATGTATACACACGTACAAAACCCTTTTCTCGATTTTATTAGGTACTTGAGCCTTTAATGAGCTTTGTCTTCTTTTAACAAAATAAATGGTCCAACGACCAATTTTGTACTTAAAAATTGGGGATGTTACACGATTGCTTTCAAATAAAACTGAAACATAATAATCATTATTATAATAGGGTGCTAATCCACCACTACAACCGATAGGATCCACTGTTTTAAAATTTTTATAACCGAAATGACCTACAAATTTATCCACAAAAGAAGAGGATTGTTTAGCTTCCGGAAGAAATAAAAAATCCGGCCGATACTGCTTCCACAAGTCCCGAAAATACCCAATTATTGTCTTATTTTCTAACCCTTGACAATTCGAACTTAAAATCTTCATTTATCTAATTTTTGGCTTTTGTGGTTTAGTTCTACCCGGCATTCCTTTGCTTGCTTCTCGGTTTTTTCCCTCACCCGCTTGATCCTTGTTATTTCTTGTGACCCACCTTTTAGGAGAAAGCAGAATCTGTGCTTTCCGCTTCTTAGAACTGACACCTTTTAGAACACCACTGGTTCTTGCTCTTTTTCCGGTTTCCACTACTCCATCATGAGCTAATGCAGCCTCTGTAGACTCAATCAATTCAGTCTGGTGGTTGTTGTCCTCTCCGTCAGCCAATTAACCTTCTTCTGTCTCCTCTAGTGCCTCATCTACCTGTTCCGATGATGATGTCTGATCTTCTACCAAGTCATCTTCCGCCAATTCTTTTTCTGTCATTACCACATCTTCTCCAGTCACCCCATAATTCCTCAAAAGATTTGCCCGACTCGTAACTGTTGCTTAGCCCATAGATGATTTCTCGTCTGCCCCCAAAGTCGGTTCCGCCGCAAAGTCAGCACAACTGTCATTCACCATAGGCTGAACAATGGTTGAACTCCACACACTTGCCTCGCCACTCACGGAAGGAAAGAGTGTAGGGGCGTTCAAGATGGTCCAAACTTGGGAAGAACATGCCGACCTTGCACGGGCGTGTTTGGCAAAATCTCGGAGACAAATAAAAAAGTGGGGCGACGAAAAGAGGCGACCGGTCGAGTATTCGGTGGGAGACGCTTCTCCCACAAAGATTTACTTCGGAGATATGAAGTGACTTTTCGAAGTTCTTGCCAAAGTAGGGATGGTGTCCTGCCGAGTGAAGTTACATGATATCCTCAAGATACATCCAGTCTTCCACGTGAATATGTTTAAACCATATCACCAAGACGAAGAGTAAAAAAGTTGAGGAGTACCCGGTCGAGCATCACTTGTGGTGATCAAATCCTACGATATGGAAATCTAAGAGGTGCTCGCATCTAAGGAAGTGAAATTATGTGGTATTCCTCGCCAAACTCATTTTTTCATCAGGTGGAACGGAATACCCTAATCGGAGGAGACATGAAAACTGAAGGGCGACTTGTGGCAATTCTGAGACAAGCTCGAGACATACACATCGACGAGGATGTCACCGAATTAGGTGGGAAAGATGTCACAGACAAATCCGTCTAAGGATACACAAAAGGAGTATGAGCCGAGTCCAAGAGGTTCACCTACCAAGACTTAAAATATCTTTTAGCTTTTCTTTCTTTGTATTTTTTCCGCAATGTTCTAGAAGGTTCTGGAGCCTTGGTGAAGAACAAGGACACTCTTCGAGAAGAAGTAGAAAAGTCTTGGAGATAAAGTAAAGAATCTAGAATGATCTAGAGAATTGATCTCCACCATTAGATAGAATCAATCCACGCCGTCTAATATGGAGGTGAAATCATTTACTATACATTTTTGCAACACTTTTAAGAAAAGATAATCGGATCGAATTTTTTTTAATTTTGACCCGAAAATCTTCAATCGGATCTTTCCTTATTTTTGACAAAATTAAAAAACGAAATTAATCAATAAAATCTACAAATATATTTTTCCTCAATTAAATCATTTTATTATCAGACAATTTTGCATCGGAGGAGATCGAACAAGCGACTGAGATTTTTAGGGTGTGTTTTTTTTTTTTTTGACAGCAGGGTGTGTTTTAGAGAGGAACTAGCATTAGGCCCGTGCTAATACACGGACATAGTATTTATTTTATTTTTTACTAAAATTAAAATATATTTTGGCATCAAACATTTATTTTGGTATAATCTAAAATATTTTAATAATTGGAGAATTTAATTTAATACAAATGTAAGATAGTATGTATATTTCATAAAGTTGTAACAAAAAAAACCAAAAATAAAAAATAAGCTACTAATCTAATTAATAAAGAGATAGGGGTGAAAATAAATACACGGATAAGACAATTGCCAGGTGGAATCTCACTCTCATCTCCCCTATCTCTTTCTCATGTTCCCTTCAATTACCCAGAAAAGTGAGGGTTTTATGTTGAGAGAGACCATGGAAAAGTGATAAGCAATTAAACGTGAATGAAGGTCAGATTGCTAACGTGTAGACGTAAACACATATATCACAAACAAATGTATTGAAAGGTAATCTATTAAGCATGACATATTTAATAATCTTTGACAACTATAACAAAATAAAAAACTGAAATTGGAGATGGTAAATTAAGGATTGATTGAAAATTAAGAGAACACGTTGGATTCCTTTTGGATTGGGTTCAGTTCGTAACTGAATCATGTAACAAAATCATTATGTACTGTAAATGCTTTGTAGATCTAAGGAGAAAGTTAAACACTTATCCAAAACGTAGAAAATTGGATAATACCGAATAAAATTCTGCAATTGTTTTCTGATCTGCCAAGGAAAATGAAACTTTTGAATGCTTGCTTGAGCTTGAAGACGTATTTGGCGAAACTGTAAACATATAAACACATATATTGAAACATTGTTTATTAAGCATGATATAAGAAATCTTTGACAGCTATAACAAAATTAAAAACTGAAATTGGAGATGGTAAATTGATACCTTTGGGGTGAAAAAAGTAATTGATTTCTGAGACTAATCGATGTATGATGATGAGAAGACCATCTTTTTCTTTTATAGATAAGTCATCGAAATTTTGGAGGAGAAGAAGTGGAAGAGGTGGAGATCATGGGGATGAAAGAAAAAAGGGTTTTGAGAAAATAAAAAGCTAAATAAAAACGATTTCCTTTTGTTATAAGTATTAGATATAATCAAAATCCTCCGTGAAAAATGAAAGAGTAAGAAAATTGTACTAAGCTGATGTGTCAATCAGAGAATGCATCAGTTATTGAAAAAGTGACTGTTGATTTAGTATAATTAGATAGACAAGAAAGTTCTAAAAACATCTGCCCAAAAAAAAAAAATAGTCGTATAGTTTGCCAAAAAAAGAGAAGAAATACAATCATATAGTTAATACAAAAACAATCGAATATACTCTATATGTATTCCGGCCCAAACAAAATGCAGTTATGGGCCACTATATTTAAATTTGGGTATAGCCTTTTTAAAATTTACAAGTTATCTTTGTTTAAACAATAATGTAGCATTAACAAAATAATTATTTTACATTTTATTAGAATATGATAATTCTAAATAAATGAATATTACTATCATAACTATTACACACCAAAATTCTGCAACTGTCCAAATTATTTATCATTCACCATAACCAAATTACTAATTTATATAAAACACTTTAAACTAATGTAAATAAAACATAAAATCTGTAACACTTATCTTTCTGTTCACAATTTATAATTCATCAAACAGAGAACAAATTTGTCGATTTTGTTCATTTAGAACAAATTATTATTTTCCAATTAATTTTTTATATGATGATATCTATACTATTATCTAATTCACTACAAAAATAGAAAACTAATTTTGTGATACTAATTTAAAGTTTAAAATGTAAATAACTTTTGTACAACACATATCTTAAAACATAAAATCCCGCACGTAGGTGCGGGTAAGGATCTAGTTAAATCATTATATTTGATTTTTTATCTATAAAAATCGCGATTTCTTATCTATAAAAATCGTAAAGAATATGCCATAAATAAATAGTTTAGGTATAGTAAATATACTATACCTAAACTATTTATTTATGGCATATTCTTTACGATTTTTATAGATAAGGAAATTAAATATAATGATTTAATTGAGGAAACATATATTTGTAGATTTTATTGATTAATTTCGTTTTTTTTTAATTTAAATTAGCTAATATAACTGTTACTTTTGTAAACTCTTCTCCACCTAGTTGGACAACCAATCATGGAGTTACTTTTTAATGAATGTGTGGTTGATAAAAAAAAAAAAAAAAATTAGCTAATATAACAAATTTAAGCTAATTTCCTAAAACCTCTCTACCTAATTTATACATAAATATATGATTCTCATTTCACTTTTATGTGATCTTATATTTATATTATTTTGAATTATTATAAAATATCATAGTTAATAAAATTTTAGATTTTTTTTCCGTATATGCTATGATTCAAATTTTTTAAAACGGACATATATAATCAATCGATGAAGAAAAAATTATGTGTACAATCTAAGGTACATTTTTGAAGAACAAATTTGCGCATTTAATCAGGTCGTATTTTTTCTTTTTACTCTGACCCGGAATTGAGTCATTCGGATATTTCCTTAATTTCTACAATTATCCAAAACAGGACAATATACCACGGGTGAAATCCTAAAATTAACAAATCGAAATACAATTATTTAGTATTTTAAGATACAATTATAAATTATTTTTACGGGTTGGTCTAAAAACACACTAATTTAAAAATATATATATTATGGACACCATTTGTAAGCAAATTTTTAAATTGACTCGAATTATTTATCTTTTAAATAAAAGTGTTATTAAAAGAAATAACAAAATGATGTTTAATTTTACGGGACGGGATTATATGGAGGGACGGGTTTGGATTGATATTAATACGGGACAATATATCACGGGTGAAATCCTAGGATTAACAAATCAAAATACAATCATACAATTTTAAACACTAAGCAAAACATATACAACATAAAATTTCTATTTTTTAGTTACAACGCATGTGACCCGCGGTGTATAACAAAAAATATTATATAAAACAAATGCATCAATTTATAAAAAGATAACAAAAATCAAATAATTAACCCGCGGGTCATATCTTAGTATATATTAAAAGATGTCAACTTTTTCAATATAAGTTACATGTCAGCATTTAAGAGAAGGACACATATACGTGAAGAAAAAATATAAATTCACATTAAAAACAATCAACCAAAACAAAAAAAAAAAATTTAATTACTCCCAAAGTTTAATGGGAAAAATGTCGGAAAATGCGCGAACTTTCAAATTTGGGACAAAAAAAGCATGAACTTTCGATATGTCATTTAAATCATAAAGTTTAGTTTGACTTTTGATAAAATGGTTAAGTTTTTGTTGACTTGGCCATATCGGGCATGTCGTTAAATTTCTGTCAACGAGACGTTGACGGGGTTAACTTTCCGTTAGAAATTTCCGTTGAATCAAAACGACGTCGTTTTGAATTGATGTGATATTTATAGTTAGATTGGAAGTATATAAAAAAACCTATTTTTATAAAATTATAAGAACAATTCTAAACGACGTCGTTTTGATTCAACGGAGATTCTAACGGAAAGTTAACCCCGTCATCGTCTCGTTAACGGAAATTTAACGATATGTCCGAAATGGCCAGGTCAACGAAAACTACCATTTTATCAAAAGTCAAACTAAACTTTATGATTTAAGTGACATTTCGAGAGTTCATGCTTTTTTTGTCCCAAATTTGAAAGTTCGCGCATTTTCCGACATTTTTGGGAACTTTCGAGAGTATGCCCCGTCATTACTCCTCTTGATGATTCCAATTTCCATATCTCTCCGACTCTCCCTCAACCTTTTCATTTCTTTCTCGTAACTAGTACACCAAGTTAATCTTAAAAAAGAATTAAAATGAATAGGGAAATAAAAGATTTTAATGTATTTGACAGATTCTATCCAAATCACACCATAATAGGTGAGATTTGTTTCTTCACGTTTTTGTCTTTGATTTCTTTTAAATTCTAATCAAATCACATTGCCATTAAAACAATCTTAATACTGAATAACAAAAGAATTTAACAGAATTCTAAAACCAACAAATTGAATAACAGTAGAATTTAATAGAATTCTAAAACCAATCAATTGAATAACACTAGATTTAAATAGAATTCTAAATTCTTTCATATTCAATTAAAATCCTATGTTCAACCCCCCCCCCCCCCCCTTAAATCAAGTATATATTAAGTATATGGAACTGATGGGACGTCACTTTGATTTCTTTCCAATTTTTGGTTTTCGTTTTCGATTTTTATGGAATGGAATGGTTGTCGAGTGTGATGCTTTCTGGGTTTGGTTTATAGCTTAGGGTTTCCGAATCGGATCTCCGGCAATTTGAATCTCGGACGATGAACCACTATCACATACACGAAGCAGTGGGACATGGAAATACTCGATAATTTACAATCTCCTTTACCATTTCCCTATAATCTTTGTTTTGGAGTTTTGTTATTGAATTTTCTGTACAAATCGATTCATATTTCTTCACAGATCATGTATAAAGGAAGGAAGACAGAGAAGATCGAATATTTGTCTTTCAATAGCGTTTAAAGGTTCTTCAAAGGGTAATTATGATATTAAATCCTCTAAGCCAAATTAGATGATTTCTGCTTTGAAATGTTGAGATTTCATTGTTTTTGTTATGCTTGACTGCTTGATTTTATGGAGTTGAACTCTGGCTTCTAAATGATTCACTCTAGATTTGTCAATCGCTGCTTCTAAGTTTTTATTTCTGGATGATGGTTGTCATGTAACAGAATTGATTCTTAAGATAAAGCGTCACATTGCCGTCTTTCTGTTCTCATTGACTATGCGCAATACAATCTCATGGTCTTTTTTCAAGTAGAGAAGCTTCTAGTTAGAGAAACTCAGCTTTCATTCAACGGTGACTCGCCCCGCAAAGAACCCTCATGAGAGTCATGTGCGGAACAAATTCTCAGGGGCTCTTCCAGCTCCCAAACTTTTCTCAATTGCTCCTCTTATAAAATATAATTTAGTTTTGATTTTTTTTAATTCGAAAAAGTAGACAAAGACCTCTTAACCCTTCAAAATATCACATATTAACGACCCAACCAAGCTAATTGGGTTAAAAATACCCAAATCCTTTCTTACTGGGTCGATTCCAATTTAAACAGGTAAAACAGTTCATTCCTTGGAGAAAAATCCTACGACAGCAACACTAGTTTATCCCTTTCGTGTCTCTTCTATTTCTTCATAGTCGATCTTGGTATAACTACAGACAACTACGTTATTGGACAAGGTAAAATCGAGTTTTATTTTGGGTTTTGTGATTAAAATCGAGTGAAAGTCCGCGAGTATTGAAATTGATTGTTCGTTATGTTTGTATAGAATCCGAAGAGATGGAGAATGTTAGTGGTAGTTGAATCGATTGAAATATTGAATGGAAGTGCTAATGTAAATGATTTTGTTTGTAGGTTTATGGAAGGGAGTTATGTCTCGAACAAATTAAGAACGCAAATGTATCTTTAACTCTGCCAGAAGCCAATCTTGAAGAAGTACCACCGCCGGCGGTAGTGGAATCTGAAGCAATAGATTCAATCTCTAATGGGGTTGCAACGGTAAGATCTATAAACTTTGGACAACTCGTAGAACTAGGTATAAGTTTGTTGCTTTTGTCTCTTAGAAAATTCTGAAACTAAAAGGTAAAACTATGAATAACTAGGTATAACTAACGTGTTTTTATAACTTATAAATATTTGAAACTAAAAGATAAAACTATGAATAACTAGGTATAACTATGCTGTTTTTGCTTTTATAACTTAGAAATAAATGAAACTAAAAGGTAAAACTATAAATAACTTGGTATAACTATTCTGTTTTTCTAACTTCGAAGTTTTAAAACTAAAAGGTACAACTTTGTATAACTTGGTCCGACTTGATCTTGATTGTAGGATTCTAATGAGGAAACTGAAACTCTACAACCTCTTAAAATGTACTTCAATCCGAGTGAGTATACAAAGCCATTCAAGATTTCAACAAAGTGCTATATTCATAAGGGAGTGGGCTTATTGGAGACTCATCTTAAAGGCAAGGAGTTGAAATGGTTCAGAGAACACCCATTGTTCCGACACTTCTTCCACATGCACAGGCAGGGGCAGAGCTAGCTTATAATTAAGGGGGTCATATGACACCTATGAAAATTGAAAATTTGGTGTAATTTTGTTAAAAAAAATCTATATAAACTCCAGCTCCATTAACATATTGACCCCTATAAAATCATTTTCTTACGTTTTGACCCCTATAAATCAATTTCCTACCTCCGCCACTGTGCACAGGGACACAAATCATAAGTTGATGCACAGCATGTTTAGAGAAGAAGAGGGAAGTTTGGTTTATCGTCAATGGGGTTCCGATCCGCTATTCTCTCAAAGAATTTGCACTCGTGTTAGGATCATATTGTCACCAATTTCCGAATTCCTGTGAAACCAAGGGCTGTATGGAGTTTGTTGGCAGGATATTTGGACCCAGAGCAACAATAAAATATCAAGATGTGGAGACAAAGTTACTATCATTGAAGAAACCTTTTGATGATCGTCTGAGAGTAGTTGTGCTCTACTTCTTAAGCAACATCATCGTTAAAATTTATTTGGTTGTTATTTTATTTTGGTATAACTCCGTCGGTTTAAAAAAACTAGGTACAACTGTGTGATCATAAATGGTTATTGTTTTATTTTGGTATTATTTTGTAAAACTAGGTACAATTGTGTGAATGACAACTATGTACAAATGCTTTATTTTTGTTAAACTAGGTAAAACTATGTACGTTTGTTCATCTTGGTATGGTAAAGGGGCTGAAATGATATTTGGGAAAAAAGTTTGAGGGAAATTAAAAGGGTGAAAAGAAAAAAAATTGGATTATTTCGAAAATTTTGAATATTTTGTAGGCAAATTCGAATAAATAAAAAAATTGGATATTTGTGGCAAATAACACGTGATCACATGGCGCCGTCATTTTTACAGTCAAGGCGCCGTCATTTGTACACGTGGCGCCGTCATTTGTACACATGACGCAGTCAAATATACACAGTTTTTCCAAGTTTACAAGTTGTACTCGCAAACACACAGTTGTATTTTTGGGGTTTTACTTTATAATTAGTTATTCTTTGAAAAATATTAATTTTTATTAGTTGTACACAAGATTTTATGTATATGAGGTAAATTCCAAACATATTCATTCAATAATATGTGTAAAATGTTAAATTTTCATACTTTTGACATTCACCATGAAGATTCAAAAGAAAGACATCTTAAAAGTATAAAGACTTTCATGTAGAGAACTAAAATGTGTAAAGATTTTTGTAAATTTTATTTAACAAATTTTGATTACAAACCACTAATTTGATTATGTAACACTAAGTTGTCTATTTCTTTACAAAAAGCATTATGATATAATTTTGAATTTATGAAGATTTGTTAATTTCTTCGTAGTTATACCAAACCTAGTTTAACCAAGTTTTACAAAACTAGAGAATACATAAAAACACGAAATCAGAGACATATATAGTTGTACCATTACGAAACCAAGTTTAACCAAGTTTTACAAAAACCAGAGAATACATATTCAAATTTGCTCATGTCTCAACTAAATATTGCACTTCATGCTTGCTTTCAAATTCTTGACCTATTACTAGATCAAGACCATCTTCGCATGGATCTTTAAATTTAGAAACTTGGCTAGCACGTGGAATCTCAACATATTCACGAATACCATCATTCTCCATACTCATATCGACAATGTTATCAACACCATTTTCCACATATCTGATAACAATATTTTCTAGTGGCTCCAAAGGCTCAGAAAGTTGTTCTGCTATTGGCTTGTCTGCATAAAGAGCTACGACATCAACATTAGCTCTATCATTATCTCATCCATTGATGATGTCCTAAACGATAGACCGTACAAGCCAGCTATCCTTGGATTCCATTGATATGTATCTCCGGTTTTTGAATAATATCCATCATAATCAAAATGTATGTTTATTGGAAGGTTGCTCATTCTCCTGAAAAAAAAAATACATTAACAGTTATACCAAAATTACCAGTTATACCACTTCTAACAGTAATCTCAAAAATACCAGATTTACTACTTCAAATAGTTATACCACGTTTCTAAGTTATACCCAGGTTTTCTCAAAATTACCAAATATACTACTTCAAATAGTTATACTACGTTTCTGAGTTATACCCATATTTTCTCAAAAATACCAGATAAACTATTTCAAACAGTTATACTACGTTTTTCAATCATACCCAGGTTTACATGTTCTACTCTATTTGCAAATCGTTTCTCGGACCAAAAACACTAATCTACCTACAATTAACAACGAATCAACCACTACAGTCCATTAAAGTGTCTTAATCGACCTAGGATACATAGTTACCAACACAATGTCCATTATTTACCAACACCAATTGAAAACCCTATCAAATCTAATAGAAATCACCAAATTTCAAATACAATACCAGAAACCACTAAAGACTCGATGTTAGAAGTGGAAGAAGAGAATAGGAACTGACCTAGAGATTAAAACTTCACTTTCAATGGTGGAAGAACGACGACGAGGTGAAGACGATGACGATGTGGTGGTTTTGAATTTTGGATTGGATTTGTCCCGATGAATACATGAGCTTGTTTGTGATTGGTCGGAAATCTCTTTGTTTTGATTGGTCGAAAATCTCTCTCTTTTGATTGGTCCGTTTAGTAAGGGCAACCAGGGGTTTTAAATTTTCATTAAGAGTGTAAGAGTATGACAGAATTTTGGAGAATAGATAGATTAGGAGGTCATGCTTGAGCAGCTCCAGAGATTAGTCTCCGTCATGTGCTGGTGTATATGGGAGACAAGATGTATGAAATATATAGTTTTTAAAGTACCTAAGCCTTAGTAGACAACTTTTATTTATGTCTTGGAATATTTTTATTTGTAAAGAGCTATCAATGGCTTTATAGAAAGGCAGAGCTAAATGGACTCCAAGTCTCAAACATATTGGAGCAAATATCAAGATTATACATGTTTTCCAAGAGTTGATATCGTCATTATTGGATTGTTGAACACATATTGTTATAAGTGGTCACTGTATTAGCCTTTTCATTATTCATAATTTTCAAAACTACAAATAGTGGTTTGGGAATCGTTATGTTGTCTACAAGGTCCAATAATGACCATAGTTAATCGTTTATTGAGAGAGATATACATTTATCATAGAGATAATTTTTTCAAAATGTTTTTGTTTAGTAATGAAGCACAATTTGTTATATTGGACCACCAGAGAAAATATTTGCTCCACGTTTCTTTAACTTATACTCATTCTTTTGTCTTTTTCAACCTAAAACATTGTATGATTTTCTATTGACTCTTGATATATACTCAAAGATTTTCCTTGTGTTTTTTGTTTTCGAATAGTAAACAGAGTTTTGATCTTAAATATCTTCTTAACTTAGTAAGTCTTAACAAATAATTTACTTGAATAGGATTGTGCATCCTTAAACTTTTGGAATCTTTTTGAAAGAAGCCTGCGGCGTAGCGCTGATATTCACCTAGTTGTATATAAAGGGGTGGGATCCTTCATTTTTAATAATCTAAGCATTTCTAAGCAATACAAGCAAATACTTGGCTTAAGTTTCTCTCTAGTTCGTTTTCTCTCTCTATTAGAACTATCCTAATTCAAGACAAGGTAGAACTAAATAGCCTCGACTTGGAAAAAATCAATGCTATCACGGAGGAGCGGTGGCAAAGAAGAGACCCTATATCGGGTCGAAAACAAAGAGTTATGGCAGCCAGGAGACGAGAAAACGAACAGTCTTGACTCGGAAAAAAACTTAAAAAATGAACATTCTCGATTTGTGAAAAGTTAGAAATTGAAGTATTATAGCTTTCGCAGGGAAAAGGGAAAAAAAAACCCGGATAAGTTGATGATATAGGAGGAATGAGGAAGTTACGTGAAGCCATATTACATCACTGTCTCTTGTTTCTCAACTCAGTTTACAAAAGAAGCAAGGAAGATAAAAAATAAAGAGAGTACTCTTCCCCCTTTGTTTCCTGTATATATACACATTCACAACCGCTCTCTATGGCTCTGATGTAATCAAAATGTACAAAAACAAAATCAATTCTTGAGGATCATTGCTTCCATTTTTCTCTTCCTCGCTGCGTGTTTTAGTTTCTCCAGTGCCACAAGCCCTACCTGTCTCACCCTCTCTCTCGATAATCCTATCCTGCAATTTGTCAAGTGACAGTTTAAAGAATGATGTTGATGATGCAACAATGGACCAAGAGGCTTAAAGATCGGATACATACCGTTTGCTAATGTCTTCCCAGGTGAGACATTCTTTGTCTAGACCATAGTATAATCGGATGATCTCCCTTTCCCGTTCTCCGAGTGTTGCACTTATAAGCTTGCTTACTTCCTCCTGCAATTTATCATCAACATGCTCAACTTCAGTGTTCATTAAGTATCAATGTAGCAAGCTTCATAATAGAGAAAATCAGAACCATTATATCAATGTAGCTTCACTTATGACTTTTTCTTTTTTTTTTTACCTTAAGTGCCAGATCATCATACCCGTGCCAGGGATTGTTCTCCACACGATTATCCGCAATGTACTGGAAATAGTGAAACAAACAAGCAAAACGTTATATACTGGAGAGGAGAGACACATGGAAACATGGATGGTGAAACCAAAATTGTCGTTTTGGTTTAAGAGAAACCGAAAGAAGAGACTCACACTGTGATGAGTTTCTCCAGGGAGACCGTTCAAAGAAGGAAATGCATCTCTGTCTAGAGAAAATATTTTGCTAACAGCCTGCATTTTGCAAGTTCAAGACCGTAAGCACAAACACACATCGGTCCCTTGAAAACAAAAGGGACAAGTAGTAAAAATTAGTTTACTTTACCTCTGTTGCATTTCTAACTTTCTTCTGCGACATGTTTAGAGACTCTGCAATCCTCTGGAAAGAAAAATCATTATAAGCATACACAATGTAGACCGGAGAAACCAGAATTGTCAAATGTTAATAATACACTTACATCAATAGAGGGTGTGATTCCTTTCTCCTGAAGTCTAAGCTTTGCATTTCGGATTAGACCGAGTCTTTCATGTAGGTGAGTAGGTAACCTCAAGGTTCTTGAGTTGTCCACTAATGCTCTTGAGACACCCTTTTAGATATTATGAATCAAAGAGCATCACTTGTCAGTTTTTACATTCTAACCATATTGGAAAGCACAAAACATCAAACATCTGAGATGAAGCAGTTATTCTC